CCCCCCCCCCCAGCTCTAGTCACCCTGCTGAGAGTCTGGCTGCAGTTTCTCCAGCTTCAGTCCATTAAAGACTTCCCTTTGGGGCTGGGGAGAGGGTGTAGAGGAGAGGGTGAGGTGGAGATCCCAGGCAGCCTTCAAGGTGAAGGTCACATAATAAGTAGTACCAGCCTTTGCCAAGAGCAGGAGTTGACAGGTAGGGAGGTGGAAGTGGGAAAGCAAGATAAAAACAGAGACTGAGAAACAGGGTCCTACACTGTCTTAGGAAGGAACCATGAAAAATCCTGACTCAATTGGAAGCCTGCAATAGGGAGAAAGACCTTTTTCTTTAGGGAATTGTCTTTTGCTGCAATGTATAGGATGGGGAGGGGGTGTTTCCAGCTCAGCTTCTGGGACTCTGCCACCTTGGACAGAACTATTAATCTTGTGTGCTTTGGATCTTGTAGAACTAGGTGATCTGCCACATTTATATACATATGCCTCCTTGACACATTTCCTCCCACTTCCTAGGCCAGGAGGCCATGCCTCCTTCCCAGGATCTATGCTTCAGCTCCCTGTGACCTCCTCAGGGGGTAAGCTGACCCCTTACCCCATCATGAGGTGGAGATGTTCTTTCTGGAAGTAGAATGAAGGTGGTTACAGCAGTCATGGCTGGGAGTGGCTGGCCCAGCCCTGTCTGAGGACTGGTGCCAGGTTGAGCCTGCCCAGGGGCAGAGAACCAGCCTCTGCCAGACCCAGGAGTCTGGGTTGGCAGGGGCCTCCAGGGAAGAGAAGGGAAGGGGGCAGGAGCCCCAGCAGATAAGGCAGGGCCTGGCAGGGGCAAAGGAATGAAGGGCAACCAGAGGGAAAAGAGCCCCTGAGCCACCCCACCCCTAAGCCCTCAACCCATAGGCCTTCTTTCATTGTTAGTCCTGCTCCCCCCCTTGGTCAGAAACCTGGTGAACCAAACCCTTGGCATGCCCCAGACTCTGGAGGGCATTGGAGTGGGTAGGGGGCTGGGGGGCTGGCTCCGGTCTGCTCCAGCTGCGTCCAGCAGCTCACTGGCACCATCTGCTGGCTTTTGGGAGAGGGTGGCTGTGAAGGGGATAAAGCGAAGGTGACTGCTGGATTTGAGGATGGAGGAACACAAGTGCTGGGTGTGGGGTGACAAGTGGCAGTCTTAAAGAGCTCAGGCTTTGTCCCCTGACTACATAGCAGGGTTCCTGGAGTCAAAAACTTCCTTAGCACCACTTCCTCCCTCTGTGATCCAGCTTGGAGGAGGCAGCAGAACACCAGGGAGGCCTTGCCCTGCACTCTGCTCACCCGGGCACCCCATTACCCTTCCCTCCTGACATAATGGCAGAGGGGCCCCAACGGCCAGTCTCTCTACCTGGGTTCTGAATCTCATCCTCAAAGACAGCATTCTTTTATTGAACTCCTACTGTGTGCTAGGCCCTGTGCTGGGCACCATGGATATAAACATTAACCACTGGCCCCTTCCCAGCAGCATGCACGAGGGCTCTGGCCTCTTCCGCTGGTAACATACCACAGTAAAGAACTTCTTCCACCTCAGTCCTCTATACCTTTCCTCAAGCATTGTTCTCACACACCCCTCTTCCATTCTCAGCCATACTTCTCTAAAATTGTCTACAATCACCATCACCACTCTCCCCTCCCCAGGTCTAGCTCGGAGGGAGTCAACTTCCCCTCCTGACCTCACCAAAGGTCACCAGTGAATGCCATTTTAGTCCCCAAATACCCTAGACACATCTCTGCTTTCAGTTAACTTGGCTTCCTGAAGCCTCTGACCTGTGGCCAGTCCTCATGCCCTAGCCCCTTTCTCCCTTGGGTGTCCCTGTGGGTATCCCCCTATTCCTCTGGCTCCCCTTCTAGAGCTTCTTTTTCTTTGGGTGAACCTCTGGCTGTGGGGACCCCTCCCTCAGCATGAGCTCATCTTCCTACTCACATGTTGATAACTCCCAAACTCCTTTCCAGCCAAGGCCTCTTCGTGCTTGACTCCAGGCCCACATGTCCAGCTGCCCCTGGATGCTTCCCCGGGATACCCGTAGGCCCCTTGCACACAGCATGCCTGAAGATGGGCTCATCATCTACCCTGGTTCTGACAGCCACCCTCCCCCCACATCACCCTCACTCATTCCATGCACTGGCCTCCAAACCTCTTGCTCTGTCCCAGACCCTGGTTGGGTGCAAAGTCCTCGTATTAGCCCTTTGTAGTAGGTAGTATTATTACTGTTTTACATTCAAGGAAACTGAGGCTTCCAGGTCTCAAATTCAGCTACACATGAGTTTGGATCTTGGACCAACCCCATGATTCAGATTCAGGTGTCTCTGAGTCCAAAGTCTGGGCTCTTTGTGCTGTTGTTAATCCTCACCTGAGGATATTTTT